TACAGGCTTGAAAAAAAGAGCATTAAGGCAGCTTCCCACTCTGCTACAGAGAGGATTTACACATCTTCTGTCTCACAATGTCCTGATCACCACTGTGCTCTGGTCTCTCTCAGCTGGGAGCTGAGTGACACAAGTTCTAAACGTCTGTTCCAGCACTAATTATCTCTGTGACCTAAGACATGGCACTTAATCTCACCGGATTTATGTTTTTTTGTCTGCAAAAGGTTAGGGGGTGGGGATGTGCAATAGAAGTCCAGACTTATTTGACTCACACATTTGTTCTGAGGCTCAAGGGAGATAATATATGTGAAAGTCCTTTAGAAATCTAAAGGTATTATATAAATACAAGGTATTAACTTTCTAATTCTCTAATCCTATATCAATTAAATCCTCTGAGACTGGAATAAGTGATGGATAATAAGTTTGCATTTTATTGTCATCGAAATGAATTGTCTGGATCCTCTACTTTTTCCATAAATGATGCCCTTTACCCCAGCTCTTTATTTTATTTAAGTTAGCTGGGTATGATGGCATGTGCCTATAATCTTAGCATTTGGAAGGCTGAGGCAGGAGGATAGCTAGTTTAAGGTCCATCTGACCTACATAGTGAGATCCTGTGTCAAAAGAGTCAAATTGATTTTATTTTATTCAGAGGATTGTTATAAAAATGACTATTCTAGGTGTGTACATTTCTGAGGTGCAATTCAGGGAGTGGCTGGTAGCTGCTAAGACTCAGGAAAGGCACAGAGTCCTTCCCAAATAGCTCAAAAAGGGAGGTCTCAGGGAATTTGAAACTATTGGAGATAGAGAAAAGGGAGGAAAATGCTTCTAATACTCTTATTTAATAATGAAAAGAAATGATCAAAGGAGGAAGAAGAGTTTTAATTTTTTTTCTTCAGATTTTCTCTTTTGTCCCTCTGGAACTCTTAGTATGCCTGAAACCACAGAATTTTTTTTTTTTTTTTGGGTCCAGTCGTGGGGCCTGAACTCTGGGCCTGGGGACTGTCCCTCAGCTCTTCAGCTCAAGGCTAGCGCTCTACCACTTGAGCCACAGCGCCACTTCCGGCTTTTTTTTTTCATTTTGCTTATGTGGTGCTGAGGAATCGAACCCAGGGCCTCAGGCATGCAAGGCAAGCGCTCTACCACTGAGCCATCTTCCCAGCCCAAAACCACAGAATTTTTATGTTAGTTTGGGTGGATTTTATTTGGGGGTGGAATCAGAGAAAATGCTGGGGTAGAGGTGAAGCAGAACACTGTATACTCAGCAAACATGAACCCACTGTACTGTTCAACCTTTCATGGTATCCAATCAAATAACTTATATAAGATGTCCAACAGAATCAGGTTAGGGAAGGACCTTGTCTGCCCTGGGACATTCAGGACCATATCTCTGAGGAGACATCTAAGACTAGAGGGCTGGTGGTACAATCCAACTGGTAGAGTGCTTACCTATCAAATCAGATGCTCTGAATTCAAACTCAAGAACCACCAAAAAGAAAAACAAATGGTCATCATTTCAGGTATGCCTGACTGAAGAAATTCTTACGTGTATTTTGACCATTTTTAATAAGTATTGTTTAATTAGAAAATAGCCTCTGAGGAGTTCAAATTAATTATCTGATATATCAAATACTGCTGAAAGGAAATGTATGGGGAGGTGGGGAAAGCAGGCAGTACCTACAATGAATCAGCCATTGAACATACATTTGCTGAATACTTTCTATGGCATTAACACTGGCTTACTTTTTTTGTTGCTGCTTTGTTTCAGTTTTTTGTGTGCCAGTACTGAAGCTTGGGCACTATCCTTGGCTTTTTTGCTCAAGGCTGGAGCTCTACCATTGAACCACAGCTTCACTTCTAGCTTTTTGGTGGTTAATTAGAGATAAGAGTCATAGATTTTCCTACCTGGGCAAACTTCAACCATCAGTCCCCAGATCTGAGTAGGTAGGATTACAGGTATGAGCCACCATACCATGAGTGCCAAGCTGTATTAGGTTTTGAGGAAAATACACAAGCAAAGTTCTCCCTATTTAAAACAAAACAAATCCTTGAGGGGGTGAGGAGAGATTAGGATAGATGGGAGGAGTGGTTGGAAAATGGTGGAAGGAGTGATACTGATCAAGATGCACTGTACACAGAAACTGACATTTTAAATTGAAACTCTTTTGTACAACTATTTAAAGATAATTAAAAAATCCAACAGGTTACAAGAGAGAGAAAGGTATACAGTAGTTACAGCAAAAGTGCCTCCCTCAATCAGGCACTAATCAACTATTCTGGTTGTGGAGTGATCAAAACAAGCAAATAAGAAACACACAATGAAAGAAGCTATAAAACACTCGTAATATGACAGGAGACATGATAGGCTGAGAAAAAAAATTAGAAACTCTCAAATCTAACATAATACAATTTGGGTTATATATGTCCACCCTTATTAGTAACCCTTATTAGTGAGAACAAAAGCCATGCACAAACAACCTCAAATTGACCTTGTAGCCAGAGTTTTCATCATTAATTTTGAATTCAACTGGGAGCTAGCAGCTCATACCTATAATCCTAAGTACTCAGGAACCTGAGAGCTGATGATCTAGGTTCAAAGCTAGACCCTGAAGGAAAGCCTGAGACTTTTATCTCCAATTAACCAGCAAACAAAGCTGGAAGTGGAGGTGTGGCTCAAGTCGTAAAGTGTCAGCCTTGAACAAGGAAGCTAAGAAAGATCATGAAGGTCTAAGTTCAAACCCCAATACTGGCATAAAATAAAACTAAATAAATAAATCTTGGACTCATTGTTATCAAGTACAGAATTATAGATAAGAGTGCCCATGAACACAGATAAAGCAACAGCTTCAAGTCCCCCCCACCCCCGTGGTGTTCTTCTTGAGGACACACTGTCTATGTCCACCTCCATTTTGTTTCTCTCTAATCCAAGAGTCACCTTACCTTACTGCTCAGCCTCCAGCCCTTCTAAATACATGTTAGAATTTAGAGGAAGGTAAGATTTAAATGTGGAACACTGTCCCCTTCTAAGGACAGGGATTTCACCAAAGGTGTGAAAGCTTGAGAAATGAGCTCCAAGCCTGAGCTTACCAGCTGGTCATATCGGGCAGCAGTAGGTTTCAGTTATGAGCTCTCAGAGTTAATGTTTCACTGGGAGGTAGGAGAGAGGGCCAAAAGCCTAAGGAGGATGAGAAGGTGGGCTCATAAGTGAGAAGGTGGGCTCACAGGGTGAATTTACTGGAAGGATGCAGATCATATGAGAGAGTTTAGCGCTCACCTCAACAGGGTTTCTCCTTCCCCCAGAGGTTAAAGATAGACCCTATACTTGGCTTAATAGCTGTCAGGCAGTGTAAAACATTTCCAGAAAGGAAGGCTCAGATTAAAATCCTGCAGCAAAGATCTGGGAAATGCAGAGATTCTGGTATTTGGAGGGGCTAGGTGAAACTGTCTTGTGTAGGATTATTTGCTGCTGAGATGTGGTGTAGGGTTAAAGAAAAAAAAAAAAAGAACCCTGCAGGTTCTAGAAAATTCTGAGCAAGTCCTGTGTCAGTTGGCAAAAAGAAGAGCAATTAGTGGGGAATGTGGTCTAGGAAGAGATTGCTAGAGGAGGGGCTGCAGATGGAGGGCTGCAATCCACAATTGCAGCAGTATGTGTAGAATGAGATAGGTTTACAGGCATTCTTTTTCCAGTTCCTACCCAGTAGTAGCTTAACGGGAAGTTTTAAATTTTATTTGTGATTAGTAGTATATTGGAACCTAAAGTCTAGGTCTTAGATACTGGTTTGTATGTATGTGTACATGATTACCAACTGAAAGAGCTTCTATAGTTTCCTGTTGTTCTTTCTGCAACAGAACCTCAGGTCAGAATGCTTCAGGAGGTGAAAAAGGCGTGGGTGTTGTCGTGAATTTGTGAATTTCTCCCAACACACACACACACACACACACACACACACACACACACACACACACACACACGCAGCGGGGAGGGAGAGAAAGGTCCTGCTAATGCCTGGAAAATCCAGCTGAAAGCAAAAGACATCTATGTATTGCAAAGCCCAGACAGACTGATGCCAGATAGCTGCGGAGATAAAGCTCCCCTTAGCTCCAGGGAGCGCTTAAGCCGCCAAGCCACCAGCTACCAGGGCACTTGCTTTGGTCTTGGGGCTACCTCTGCAGGCTGCGGAAAGCCCTAGCTCCTTGTCGTTCCTTTCTGAACGCACCATAAACCCCATATCCAACAGCAAACCTCTAGGATCTGGTACAGCGCAGAAATGCAAAAACTGAAGAGGAAGAGTCTGTGAGGGGGAATAATTTTTACTTTAATCTAAAGGAAGTGTCTTCCCCTCAACCCCTTGCAGGTTGATTTCTCCATCCCCCCACACCGCCCCGGGGTTAGAGAAAAAGGTTTACAAGCCCAGCAAGGCTTGGAGATGGGGCGGAAGGGGGAGGGGAGTTATCAGTTATTTCCTGGCTAGATTCACCTGCTGCTAAGTGGTGAGAACATCCATAGGATGAGCAGCAACTTGGCTGATGTGGTTTGGGGGGATTTCAAAGATCTTCAACTTTGCCTCTAGTCCCCCTCTCCCCCACACACACTCCACTTGAGTCACTAAGGGGTTAAACGCAGCCAGGCATCAAAACCTCCAACCAAGCCTCTCCACTCCCCCTCCTCTTTTTGCCTCCCCCCTCCCCTCCCGTGCGTCGCTAGGAGGTCATCAAGCTCTCTGCCCAGTCCGCGTTCTCAAGCCCCTCTGTTTCCCGCCCATCAGGCTGGTGGCTGCTTACGGAGAGGTGTGCGCTCACCGAGGGGCGTGTTCCGACACAGACAGCCGCTTTGCGCCCCCAGCTTAGACTTCAGAGCGGAGCCAGCCATGGAGCGCGGCGGGTGAAAGTTTGGCACCCCGCGAGGGGATGTCAGACTGGTGTGGGTGGGGCGCCCGAGGGCTCTCTAGCCCTCCAAGCTTAGGGACGCAGGCTGCCCAGACCTGAGGCGGTGTGCAGCTATGGACCGCGAAGCTGATGCGGCCCAAGGCACTGCCCCGCCTCAGGATGGAGAGCAGCCCGAAGAGTCCCCAGAGCCACCGCCGCCTTGGCCGCCACCGCCGCCAGCTCCACCGCCTGTCCCTCCGCCACCCGCTCCTCCACCACCAGCTCCTCCACCGCTCTCTGAGCCTTCGCCAGAACCCAAACCCGAGCCCTGTCCAGAGCCTGTTCCAGGACCCTGTCCCGAGGCGACTCCAGAACCAGCCACAGAATTAGACACCCATCCTGCCACAGAGCTGGCCACAGAGCCAGTCCCAGAACTAGCCATAGAACCGGCCCCGGAGCCGGTCCCAGAACCTGCCGCAGAACCGGCCCCAGAGCCGGTCCCCGAACTAGCCACAGAGCCGGTCCCGGAGCCGGTCCCCGAACTAACCACAAAACCAGCCAAAGAGCTGGTCCCTGAACTAGCCACAGAGCCGGCCCCGGAGCTGGCCCCCGAACTAGCCATAGAGACGGTCCCCGAGCCAGTCTCAGAATCTGCCGCAGAGTCGGCCCCAGAGCCTATCCTAGGGCCAGTCCTAGAATCTGCCCAGGAGCCGGTCTCAGAAACAGTTCCAGAGACGGCCCCAGAACCTGTCACCGAGCTGGGCCTAGAGTCCTATCCTGAACCAGCTCCAGAAACCTGTAGGAAGCCAAGTCCAGCACCATGCCGATTGCAGTGTCCAGTGGTCCCTCAAGAGAGGGGACTAAAGACCTCGCCATTGCCATCGCCCCGAACGCCAGTGACATGGTCCAGAATAAAGGTAAGGAAAAGAACGGATGAAGGAAAGAAATAAGCGAGGTAGGGTGGCTATGGAGCTTGTTAGACTCAGGGTATCGCTTACAACCTGGCCACTACTGGTGGACCAAGATGCTCAGAAAGATGAGGGAATGGGGGAATGGGAAGAGACTGGAAGGCGGGAAGCAACATGTGGGAAGTGAGAGTGGGCTATTTAGGGCTAGGGATGGGATAGTGACAGCAAAGCTGGGAGAGAGGGCAGCCTCCCCCCATCCCCCCTGCCCCCGGGAGGGAGCCACAGTGCCGTGAGTGCCTCTGTCTTGAAAATGGTAGAAGACGCCCTGGATAGCGGGTTGGGGGAGAGGAGGGTTCAAGAGATGTGAAATGTTTGTAGCTGACCTGGATACATAACTGATGGTACTGAGTGGGGGCAGTGGGACACGAGTTTTAGTGATGGTCACTGCCGCAGAGGCCCAAGCTACAAAGCCACTGTCTGCTTGGCCCCTTTCCTGCCACTGAGGAGGGGGCGCCTCAACCCAGGCACAGCTGGCGAAGCTCCAAGGAGGTGTCCAGCACCTTGGCTGGCTGCTGGGAGCTGGTACTCCCAATCGGGATACGGGGATGGGCGGCGCCCACGCGCACTGCAGGGGAAGGGCAGGGTTCGCTGGGAGGAGGGGGAGAGCTAGAGTGTGTGTGCTGAAGCCACCATTCCATCTGTCTGCAGGATTTCCCAGCAGGTAAATGCAGTGATACAGTGATATATCACAAGCCCGCAACTGGAATCCTGCACCAAGATCAATTAGAATGGTACAACTAGAGTCCTGATTAAAAGATTAAAAAATAAGAGTTGGGGTTTAAGAGCTTGTAACAGAAACCCTTCAGTCTACAGAGATGTCTTAGAAAACGTGGCACTTAGCTGGGAGGAAGGGGGAAGTGAAGGGACCTCCTACAACAGTCCAAGCGGGAGGGAGGAAGAAGGTTTCGTGTTTACCCTGAATATTAAAATTCCCCTTCTGTACATTTTCCAGTGGGAGACTTTTTTGGTGTTTCTGGTCCCCCTACTCATTCTTCTAAACTTTGTTTCACGAAACTGTGGTTTATGCATATATACACCTCACTTTAGCTTCCAATAAAGGGAAACACACAAACGCAAATAACAACACATTAACAATGCTGGTCCATCTGGTTGCTTAGTTGGGCTTAGGGATGTGGTTAGGGAACCCTTTAGCTGGGGATGCACACCTGTAGAATGTAGATGGGGAGACAGAGGAGTAGAGTTTGAAATCATAAAATGGAAGTGCTGCTTGCTTCCTGAGTTCTGGGGTGGGGGAGATGCAAAACATCTAATTTGCAATGAAAAAAGACAAAGAAGTGGAAAGCTAGGGCAAAGAGAAGTTTCACAGAATACAAAATGCACATTTTTAAAAATAAATAAAATGAACAGTAGGAAACTCAGACATTAAAACAAAATTCATATCTGCTTTCACCAGGGGATGGATCCTTCTCCTTCCTGCAAATACCTTTCTCAGTGGAGTTTTCTAGAAAAGAAACAGTGAGGTAGCTAGACAGGGAGTTCATTCTAATCCTGGGGCTTGCTCTAGTCGTTTGGAAGAGTTTGAATTAAGTTGGTGGGAGGGAGATGAGCCAGTCACCTGAACTGTGGCCATCTTAAGTGAAATTTGGGAAACCTGGCAAAGAAACTGACACCTCAATTACCTGGATTGTCTACAAAACCATCCTTTTTTGACCTCTGGAAGGTATCCGCCACCTTTGTCCCCAATGAAAATTATCTTTCAGTGTGGAAACATCTCCCAGCAGCTTAACAAGAAAATGTCTGCCAGACAGATAGGGAGGATTAAGGAAAGGGGAATTGGTTTAGCTTCTTCTCCATAGATGTGCTGACCAGCTGGCTGAGACACTGGCAGCACTGGTAGGAGACAAAGACCCCAGTATTTTGACTTGGTCACCAGAAGAGCCAGACACTAGTTGAATCATTTATCTCTAGAACAGAGTTAAGAATTCTATCTAACAATTCTGTCATGTTGATTAACTAATGGATGGCTCCGGAGGATTTTGAAGGATTTAGGCAAATGCTTACATTGCTAGGAGCCCAACCCTTCTCCAGCAGGCTCCGTGTTGCTATGCAGTTGCTCCCTTGTGCACTTGGGAATATCTGATCTTCAGTGATAGCACCATTTTTTTTTTCTGCATCCACCTGCAACCAGCTGACTTGATCTTAACATTTAACACAAACAGGTTGCCATCTTAGCTGGAGTGACATTATTCTCAAACACTGCCTCCTTGAGGACAACTTGGGGAAAAACAATCACACACACAATCAGAAAATAAAACAAAATACAAGTTGCATCATACAATGAATACCTACATGATAATCATGAAACTAGCCTGAAAATTCAAAAGAAAATAATGAGCAAAATCAAGTGTTTGAATAAGACTGAAAATTTCTGCCAGGTAATTTTGCTGACTGGTATTGCAGTAAATAAGTAAATAAATAAACCCTTAAGCCTGTATTCTGTTCTTTTTAGGGATTTCAGTAAGGTTTCAGATCCTGCTGTTGGAATCCTTTCCTGAGCATGAGAGTAAAAACTGACTAAAGTGGGCTTACATTTTCTTTCAAATAGCTACCAGGGTAACACAATCTATGAATCAAACCTGTCTATTTCTTCCATTCTAAAATGCTTTGATTCCCAGGAAATGAGCCATGGTCTCCCACCTGGTTGCAGCAAGTATAAATAAGGACATGAGAATTGGTTCTTTAACAATGCTATCACTCTTTTGGGGGAATGGGGTTTATATGAAGTAGACCATATTAGTTTCCTCCCCTTCAGCTATGCTTGAAGAAAAACAGTTTGTATTGTTATTTATTGGATTTTGACTACATATGAAATTATGATCACACCAAACAAATGATTGATGAAAATTTGGGGAGAACTATGTTTTTGTGGCATTCATTTGAGAGGGAAGGAATATGTACACTCCTACTAATGACTACATAGTAATTACCATTACTCAAAATATAACAGGTTTTGAACATAAAACTGGTATTTTTGACACACATTTTCATGTAAAGTAGCCACTGGTTGTTTATGTAATGTCTGGTATGAATATTTTATTACTTTACCTATTTGTGAGCTTACCAAAAGTAGGATTTTCGTTGGGATTTTTTTTCTTTGCCAGTCGTGGGGCTTGAACTCTGGGCCTGGGCGCTGTCCCCAAGCTCCCATCAGCTCAAGGCTAGCGCTCTACCACTTGAGCCACAGCACCACTTCCGGCTTTTTTGCATATGTGGTGCTGAGGAATTGAACCCGGGGCCTCATGCATGCAAGGCAAACGCTCTATCACTGAGCCACCTCTCCAGCCCCTCAAAAGTAGGATTTTCGCTGTGCTTGGTACAATATGGTCTCCCTGTATTACTCAGGAAACATTTACTGAAGCTTGAAACTTATTAACTCTATTTCCAGCAATATAAAGTGTAGTGCTGCAAGTGAATAAAAATGTATTTCATCGGTTTATGAGTTAAAAGAATACACTTATTTAAATATCCTATAATATATAGCCATTAAGGACACAGTCAGTTTTTTCAGAATGGACAATGGAACCATAGATAAGAAACAAACTACTAAAAAAATTTAATGGTTTGCAAAGTGTCCTTATCCTATGCAGTCATGACAGCAGCAGACTAATGGTGGTGTTTGTTTCAGGAGTGGGTAATGATTTTTTTCCCTAAGTGAACCAAATTTCTGCAGTGACTATGAACAGCTTTGGAATTATAGATTCAGATATTTAACCTGTTGAAGGGCAGAATGGAATTACTTTCTTCCCAGCCTTTATCCCCTTCTTTGCCAAGCTTTAATGGTACCATATGATTTATTTGGTATTTTCAGAGAGCTCCTAGATATTTGCTGCAGGATGTTCTAGAAAAGATAATGAGGTATTTGGTCAGTGGGTCTTTTCTTTCTGAGTATACAATTATTATGCATTTACAGAAATTTACAACTGCAGCTTCTGCCAATCTGCAGCCTAAAAGGAAAGACTGAGCCTTTTCCTAAAGCGTCTCCAAGGAAAGGTGAAAAAATCTATAGAGGCCAAGAAACCACTCAGGGACATTACAATAAGGGCTGATAATCTTTTCTACTAGTGTATTACTTTACAATTTACAGAATGCTTTTCTCTGCAACATTAACCCTTTATATCTCCCAAAGAAGACAGTATGGTAGAGAACAACAAAGATTATAACTTAACTGCTAATAGGATGTACTGATTATTATATGTATATGTATTTTTAAAATATCCAATATATGGCTTTCTGTGACATACAGGATCCTCATTTGTCTAACAACAGTATTTTAGCTCAGATTTCACCAGCTCTAACTTTTTCTAAGGCAATGGTTGCTACTCTATTTCTAATGTTCCTAGAGGGGACCAGCATAGAACAGGAGCCTAAGAAAGAAAGAGAAGACACACAAGACCTTGGATATATTACTCCCAAAGAAAACACTTTTTTTTTTGGAAAGGTAATAAATAGAAATACTGCTGAAGCCAGGCACCAGTGGCTCAAGCCTGTAATCCTAGCTACTGAGGAGGCTGAGGTATGAGGATCACAGCTCAAAGCCAGCCCGGAGCAGAAAAGTCCGTGAGACTCTTATCTTCAATAAAATCACTAGAAAACTGGAAGTGGTGCTGTGGCTCAAGCGGTAGAGCGCTCGCTTTGAGCTGAAGAGTGCAGGTACAGCGCCCAAGCCCAGAGTTCAAGACCCACGACCGACAAAAAAAAAAAAAGAAATACTGCTGAAGATAGTAATAGGGTACTCAACCATTCCGAAGACCATTGACTGTAATTTCCTCAGTGGAAAAAAAAGAATTTCTTTAAAAAGAAAGAAAGCAATCATTCATAAAGGGAGATGCCCCATCCTCACTAAAGAAAATAAGCCTTATTCTCAAATTAGAGAAACGAATTTATGACTTTTTATGAAGAAAAGAAAAGCATAGTCACTGTAGGTAATG